ACCCTGATGCTGGGAGGGATTGGCAGCAGGAGGAGAAGGGGACGACAGAGGATGAGATGGCTGGATGGCATCACCGACTCGATGGACATGAGTTTGAGTAAACTCCGGGAGTTGGTGATGGACAGGGAGGCCTGGCATGCTGTGATTCTTGGGGTCCGATTCATTCATCGGACACAACTGAGCGACTGAACTGACTGACTGACTAATGCCTATGGTACAGGTCCAATAATATCAAAATTGCCCTAGAAAATCTTATAAAATGGTGACAAAAATTTGTGTATGTAACTTGATACAATAATTTTTGTGCACATTAAAATTTGAGAACTACTGAGCTAGACAAAAAGGATAATTTGAAAAAATTCTCTAACCAATGAGTGGACATTCAAATGATCCTGCTATCAAAATAACTACAAAATTAGGAGATATAAATGGAGGGGCAGTAGAGAATTCTTAAAACTTCCTATTTGTCTGGGCTGTGACTTCTCTTGTGTTTTAGTCTGTAAAGCGAAGTGAAGTGAAAGTCACTCACCGTGTCCAATCTTTGCAACCCTTTGGAATTCTCCAGGCAAGAACACTGGAGTGCATTGCCTTTCCCTTCTCCAGGGGATCTTCTGAACCCAGGGATCAAACCCAGGTCTCCGCATTGCAGGCGGATTCTTTACCAGCTGGGCCACAAGGGAAGCCCAAGAACACTGTGGTGGACAGCCTTTCCCTTCTCCAGGGGATCTTCCCAACCCAGGAATCAAACTGGGGTCTCCTACATTGCAGGCGGATTCTTTACCAACTGAGCTTTCCGGGAAGCCCTTTAGGCTGTGACATGCTGGCAATCAATCAGCTCTGCTACTTACTAGCTATATAATCTTCAGCAATTCACTTAACCTTTCTGAACCTTGGTTTCCTCATCTATAAAAATTGGGAACCGTTCTCTTGGAATATGAATGCCAAATTACCCGGAACATTTCTTAGGATATTTCAGAAGGAGAGGGTCCAGGACTTTCTATTTATCTAAGAGTATTCTGCAAGCTTTGTTCTCAAAAGATGCAGGCAAACTCATTTCTGATTGGTTTAGATTCAATCTATATTCTCCCCAAACTTAAAAAATATAGTTTTATTTAGTTCTTTCTTTTTGGCTGCGCTGGGTCTTTGTTGTCGCACACGAGTTTTCTCTAGTCGCAGCAAGCAGGGGCTGCTTTCCAGCTGTGGTGCTTGGGCTTCTCGTTGCAGTGGCGCCACTTGTTTCAGCGCACGGGCTCTAGGGTGTGAGAGCTTCAGTAGCTACGGTACGTGGCTTCAGTAGTTGAGGCTCCTGGGCTCTAGAGCACAGGCTCAGTAGTTGGGGCACAAGGGGCTTAGTTGCTCCATGGCATGTGGGATCTTCCCAGATCAGGGATCAAACCTGTGTCTCCTGCACTGGCAGATGGACTCCTCACCACTGAACCACCAGGGAAGCCCCAATACTTTGTTTTTAAAGGGAGCAACTTAAACACATGGTAACTTTTTGCAAACTTAGAGTTCCCTGCTCACTCTCCCAGAAGAATGCAACTTGATGGATGATTTATAAGAGACCTTGGGCAACAGAAGAATAACCATGATCATGACAATTACATCCTGGAAAAGGCTTCAAATAACGATTATAGAATGTCTAGCTCTGATATATACCACCTCCTATTCTGGAAGCAGTCAGGGGCAGGTCTATCATTTCCATATAGGATACAGTGAGAGAGAACAATCCTGTGTGCCTTCAGGCAGATGGGAGGCAGGGCCATGGGACTATACTTACACAAGGTAATAAAAATCAACTTCGCCATAGCAAAAGCTGGAAGGAGTTTTTAGAGATTGCTGGGAAATAGGTGAGGCTCTGCCAAGGCTTCTCACTTTGTGCTGTCCTTGGAAACAATGGAAGCCAGAAAATTGGAGCAACATCTTTAAAATATTGCAAGAAAAAAATACTGCACACCTATAATTCTACACCCAATGAAAATATCTTCGGAAAATGGAGATTAAAATAAAGACATTTTCAGATATGCAGAAGCTGAAAGAATTTATCACCATCAGACCTGCACTACAAAATATGCTTAAATTATTCATGCAGAAGGGAAATAATACCAGGTGGAAGTATGGATCTACTGAAGAGCACCCGAAATAGTAACTATATGTGAAATAGGAAAGTCTTTTTCCCTTTTTATTTAAACCTCATTAAAAGATAATGGATTGTGTAAAACAAAGGCAATAAACATTTACTGTGGAGATTATGATATACTTAGAAGTAAAACATATGATGACAACAGCATAAAGGCTAGAAAGCGAAGGGCTGGAAGTATGCATTTGTGAGGTTCTTATACTACACATAAAGTGGTATATCATTTGAAAATAAACTGCAGTAAGTTAAATCTTAAATCAGCTACTGAAATAACACAACAAAAATTATGGCTAAGAAAGCCAAAAGAAGGAGATAAAATGGAATCATAGAGAATACTCATTTAATCCAAAAGAAGACCAAAAGAGGGAAAGGGGAACAAAGGAGCAGTCTCAGATAAAATACAAACAGTAAGATGGTCAATTTAGCCCCAACAATAGCGATAATCACATTAAATGCAATTGCTCTAAATACGGCAATTAAAGGCAAAAATTGTGGAGTTGGACTAAAAGGAAGACTCAACTATATGCTGCTGACAAGAAACCACATAACTATAAAGGCTAAAAGTAAAAGAAGGATAATAGATATATGATGCTAATACTAATAAAAGTATAGTATCAGAAAAAGAAGAGATCAGAACATGGAATAATACCAGAGATTTAAAACATTCATTTCATAGGGTTAAAATGTTGAATTCAAGAGGACATAACAATCCAAAATCCAAATTTTTATGAACCTAATAACACAGCTTCAAAATACATGAAGCAAGAGCTGATAGACCTGTAAGGAGAAAACCCAATTTTATAGTTGAAGATTTCAATATTGCTCTCTTAATAATTGATAGAACAAGTAGCTGGAATAACAGTAAGAACACAGAAGATTTAAATAATACTATGAAGCAAATTGACCTAATTGACTTTTATAGAACACTCTACTCACCTTTAACACAGTAAACATTCCTTTCAAATGTACTCATAGATTTACCAAGAGAAACCATATTCTGAGCCATTAAATGTCTCAATAAAAACAATCTGAGTCACACAAAGGAAGTACACTACTTTGATCACAGTCAAATCAAGAGTACACAGAATCACAGCATATTATAAGAGAAATCAGCAAGAGCAAGATCGCTGGGAAATCCTCAAATGTTTGGACATTAAAGAACATTAATCTACGTAACCCAAGAGTCAAAGAAGGGTTCAAAACAGAAATTGGAAAATATTTTAACTGATTTGAATAATGAAAGAAGAAATACAGCCTATCAAAATGTATAGGATACAGCTAAAGCAGTGCTTATAAGAGATATTTGTACTACTAAATGCCTATTTAGAAAAGAAGCTCTCTATAGTGGGCTGAATTGTGACTTCCAAAAAGATAATGTTCACATCCTAGTCCCAAGAACTTGTGAACATTACCTTATTTGGAAAAAGAATCTTTGCAGATATAATTAAGGATCTTGAAATGAGGATATCATTATTTGGGTAGGTTCTGAATGCCATTATAAGCATCTTTATAATAGAGAGGCAAAGAGAAGCACATTCAGAGGAGAAGTCCATCTGAAACAGAGACAAAGATTGTAGTAATGTATTCAGAAGCCAAGGAATGCCAGCAGTTATCAGGAGTTTGAAGAGGCAAGGAATCTCCCCTGGAGACCCTAGAAAGAACGCAAACCTGCTAACCCCTTGATTTCAGACTTCTGGCCTGCAGAACTGTGAGAGTAAAAATTTTTATTCTTCTAAGCCTCTAAGTTTGTGGTAATTTTTTATACAGCAACAAGAGGAAACTAATATAGTCTCAAATTCAGTTCAGTTCAGCTGCTCAGTCATGTCCGACTCTTTGTGACCCCATGAAACGCAGCACACCAGGCCTCCCTGTCCATCACCAACTCCCGGAGTCCACCCAAACCCATGTCCATTGAGTTGGTGGTGCCACCCAACCATCTCATCCTCTGTCGTCCCCTCTCCTCCTGCCCTCAATCTTTCCCAGCATCAGGGTCTTTTCAAATGAGTCAGCTCTTCGCATCAGGTGGCCAAAGTATTGGAGTTTCAGCTTCAACATCAGTTCTTCCGATGAACATTCAGGACTGATCTCGTTTAGGATGGATTAGTTGGATCTCCTTGCAGTCCAAGGGACTCTCAAGAGTCTTCTCCAACACCACAGTTCAAAAACATCAATTCTTCAGTGCTCAGCTTTCTTCACAGTCCAACTCTCACATCCATACATGACCACTGGAAAAACCATAGCCTTGACTAGACGGACCTTTGTTGGCAAAATAATGTCTCTGCTTTTTAATATGCTATCTAGGTTGGTCATAACTTTCCTTNGAGTGCAATTGTACAGTAGTTTGAGCATTCTTTGGGATTGCCTTTCTTTGGGATTGGAATGAAAACTGACCTTTTCCAGTCCTGTGGCCACTGCTGAGTTTTCCAAATTTGTTGAAATATTGAGTGCAGCACTTTCACAGTGTCATCTTTCAGGATTTGAAATAGCTCAACTGGAATTCCATCACCTCCACTAGCTTTGTTCATAGTGATGCTTTCTAAGGCCCACTTGACTTCACATTCCAGGATGTCTGGCTCTAGGTGAGTGATCACAGTGACCTCATTTTCCATGTTAAGAAACTGAAAGCATACTGTTAGCAGAATAAAAGAAATAATAAAATATGAGAATAAATCATTGAAATGGGAAACACAAAATCAATATAAGGAAATCAATGAACCCAAGAGTGGAGTCCTTGAGATCAGTAAAATTGATAGACTCTTCAAAAAAGAGAGATGGAAGAAAGACACAAGTTACCAATAACAATAAGAGAGGAGATGACATAACTATAAACCCTACAGATATTAAAAGAATAATAAGGAAATAGCTTATATGAATAATTTTACTTAAGCAACTTATATGAAATGGATACATTCACTGAAAGACAAACTACCAAACAAAGATCATTCAGGAAGAAATAGGTAATTCAAATATCTGTTTTCATAATACACATATATAATCTTTCCACAAAGGAAGTTCAGGCCAGATGACTTCACTGGTGATGTCTACCAAACATTCAAGCATTTGAGGATGACATACAAGTTCTTCACAAATTCTTCTGGAAAACTGAAGATGAAGGAGTATTTTTCAACTTGTTCTGTATAGCCAGACTCTGAAACTAAAAATAAACAAAACTATTACAAGAAAACTATAGATTAACATGCTCATGAACATAGATACAAAAGTTCTTAAGTAACATTTAACAACTTAAATATAGCAGCATATAAAATGGGTAACAAATGATGACCAAGTAGAATTTATCACAGAAAGGCAAGATTGGTTTAACATTCAAAGATCAACTAATGTAATGCAACAGATTAACAGACCAAAAGTGAAAAGTCAAATGGTCTTATCTCAAGAGATACAGTAAAAGCACTGGACAAAATCTAGCATCCATTCCTGACATAAACTCTCCAGCAAGTAGGAACAGAAAAGAACTCCTTTAAACTGTTAAATGGCATCTACATACAACCTATGGCTAACATCATGCTCAGCGACAAAAGATGTCATTTTGACACCTCCCCCAGCTATTCCACTCCTATGTATTTACCTAAGACAAATGAAAACATCATGTGTAACATAAATGTTTTTAATATCTTTTTTGTAATAGCCCCAAATTGGAAATAACCCAAATGTCCATCCATAGGTGAACAGATAAAGCACATATATTGATATGATTATTACTCAGCAATGATAACAACAATAGCAGTAATAATAAACCAACCTATAGATGCATGTAGCAACATTGATGAATCTCAAAATAATTACACTAAGTGAAAAAAGCCAGATAAAAGTGACCGCATACTGTTTGGTTCCATTTATATATAATTCTAGAGAATGATAACTAACCTATAGGGACAGAAAGCCACTTGTCTGCTTGCCTAGTCATCAATATGAGAACAGGGAGGAATAAAAGAGAAGGCTTACTCTAAGAGTCATGAGAAACTTTGGGGGGTGTTATACATGTTTATTATCTTGTCATCATGGTTCCATATGTGTATACCTACATCAAAACATCTAATTTTACACTGTATACATATGCAGTTTATTGTATGTTATACCTCATAAAACTATATAAAATGAATAAGACTGTGAAAAGTTTAGAGAGAGTAGAATGTAAAGGGGCAGGTAGTAGGCAGGAAGAAATTAGTCTGGAGACTGAGGCTGGCCTCTGTCCTATGGACAGGTTTATGGAGTAGGCTCTGGTGCAGTGCTGTGCTAAGTCACTTCAGTCGTGAATAACTCTTTGTGACCATACAGACTACAGCCCACCAGGCTCTTCTGTCCATGGGATTCTCCAAACAAGAATACCGGAGTGGGTTGCTGTGCCCTTCTCCAGGGGAGCTTCCCAACCTAGGGATGGAACCCATATCTCATGTCTCCTGCATTGGCATGTTGGTTCATTACCACTAGCACCACCTGGGAAGCCCATGAGTAGCAGAGAGAGCTTAAGCAGACTAGAGGGAGCCTGATGGTAGAGACAAGAGCTCAGTGATTTGGCAGCAGATGATGGGCCCTGTTGAGGAAGGCAGTAAAAGAGAAGAACTGGTAATGAAGAAGTGGGGCTGGATCTGAGAGACAATTCAGATATGGAATTGATGTAGCTTTAGGACCAATTGGATAAGGGAGAGGAAATGGTACATAGTTGGATATCTGGCTTGGAAGCTGCTTTAGACTGAATTTTGTTCCTCTAAATTCACATGTTGAAGCACTGACCTTTGATGTGACTACATCTGGAGATAGGGTATTTAGGAGGTAATTAATGTTAAATATGTTAACTAAGGTGGGACCCTGACCCCATAGAACTATAGCCTTCTAAGATGAGGAATGAATGGAAATCTCTCTCCATCATGTGAGGACCTGGTGGGAAGGAGCTGGATGTAAGCCAGGAAGAGTCTTCCCCTGAAAGTGAACTCTGCAGAGCCTTGATCTCGAACTTCCCAGCTTCCAGAACTGTGAGGAAATTAATTTCTGTTGTTGAAGCCAGTCAGTCTATGGTATTTGTTATGGCAGCCCAAGAGGACTAACACAAGCTTTTGGGGGTTTGTAAGCTTGGGGGGGGTGCAGATATGTTTATACTGCTCACCTAAATCAAGAACGCAGAATGTGAAGCAAGTTGGTGCAGTTATGAGTTCAGACTGAGATATGTATTCACATGAGGATATAAACCATTTAAGATATAGGGCTGAAGTTCTGGAGAGAGATTGGCTAGAGGTACATATTAAGGATGGGCTTCTCAGGTGGAGCCAGTGGTAAAGAATCCACCTGTCAATGCAGGAGATCTAAGAGACATGAGCTCAATCCCTAGGTTGAGAAGATCCTCTGGAGGAGGGTACAGCAACCCACTCCAGTGAGTCCTTGCCTGGAGAGCCCCATGGGCAGAGTCTGGTGGGCTACAGTCCATAGGGTCACAAAGAGTAGGACATGACTGAAGCAACTTAGCACGTAGCATGCACATATTTAGGAACCGTCAGCAATCGGTGGCAGTTGAGACCATGAGATGGGTATACAGTAGGAGCAGAAAGGCCAACAAGGGAGAGGGAATGGCCAGAGACAGAGGATGATAACAATGACTGAGTGGTGACTCTAAAGCCAATGAGATAATTTTGAAAAGAGTTAATGGTAACAAGTGCTGCAGCACATGGGATATATTTCTGGGGACATGTTAAGTGTCTGGCATGGCCCTTTTAAAATCAAGGACCCTACAGTCTAGCTGAAAAAGAATACAAATGCATGTGAAACAATTAGGAAATCATTCAACTAGGGTAAATTGTCTTAGTGTAACAGAGAAGTGCAATAAAGTTTCATCCATTTATTCTACAAAGATGTTGCACTCCTACTGTGTATCTGGCTTTAGCTGTTGGATGAGGCAGTTGGGCTTTTTATTAACAAAAAGAAGGGCATGACTGAGTTACTGAGGTGTGAATAATGATACTCTGGATAAATGGAAAAAATGAAAGCAGAGTAATTTAGGTACATAGGGAGTGATGGAGAGGATCCAGTCTTAACAAGAGTCCAAGGAGAGGAGAATAATAGGGGAGAAAGCCTGGCTGGCTGAGTTTGTGTCAGAGATTAGAAGGTTGGGGAGGGGAAGCGCCCACCCTAGTATAGGGTATTCTTGCTTCAGTATTTTTTAGGCCCTAAGCACCTGTTGCAGCACATTAAGCTGCAACAGTTAGTAGGACCACTGCTTTCTACAGGTTTCAGACATGCAGAAACTTCAAGCCTCTTCACTGGCCACCAAATATGTGTCCAGCTGCCGTCGTGCATGGACGGGGAGTTTTCATAACAAGCTTCCCAGGCAAAACTTAACAAGAGGAGGGCTTTTTGTATCAAAGCGCCTTCCATGATCCTTTCAAATACTGGGTGCATTGAGGCTGGGTGATTCCAAGGGTCGTTTTTAACCTACATTGCAACGGCTTTGGCAACCAGACATGTGGTCAGATAGATAATACAGTGAATAGTAAGGTAGACAAATTCGTGGCGGACGAACCACTATCAGTCTCTGGACACGACCAGTCAGTCTTGTTGGGCGGAACTATCCACAGTAACAAAGCATCCGCAGTGACAAAGCGTCCCCAGGACAGCCCTGAGGATACAGTTCTCCCGATGGACGGAAGAGGGCGCTGCGGATCGTCTCGGTCTGCTACTGTCAGAGACAGACCTAGCGTCCTGGGGCGCGAAGGGGAAGCCCGCGTGGTCAGGTCCCGGAAAAACCTCGGGCTGCAGACGTCTCCCCGAGAGCGCCTGGGGTTGGTGCTTCGGTTACCCGAAACTGCCTGAGCCAAGTGTTGGGGGTGGGGAAATGGTGGGAAGTTGGAGAGGAGAAAGGACCAGAGAAAGGAACCCCAGCACTACTGGTGAATCCGCGGGAAACGCGAAAGCTCAAAGCCCATGGGAGCACACCGCTGGGGCTGCGGTTTGTTTCCACAGAAGGTGGAGAAAGCTGCGGGTTTCGAACATTTAAAGCTGACTGCGGCTGCATACGGAGCCTGGGGGCGAATCAGCGGTGCCGCCCTGAGGATCCTTCCCAAATCTGTCTTTCTGGTCTCAGGTCTCCGCAGCAACTGCAAAACTTTCCTTCGAGCTGCCCGCGCCCCAGAGCGAGTCCGCGAGTGTCCCTCTCCCTTCTAAGGGGAGCTTAGTAGGGGGCTTCCCGTGTCGGTCCAGAATGTGGTGGGATCACCACCATCCTCTCTCGCCTGTTCAGAGGCCTTTAAAGAGTAACGAAGAAATGGGAAGAAACGGAAGCCGCTTCGATGTGGAGCTCAGGCTCACTCCTGAGTCCACTCCTCCGCGCCCTGCTTCGGCTTTGCGGAGTGTCCGAGCAGCTGCAGGCCCGCGCCCCCCACATCCCGCCCACAGCATCTCGGTTCTCCTCCGTTCAAAGGGTACTGCTAGCGCTGGAACCGCCACCCCCCCCCTCCCCCGCTTTGTAAACCAGACCCCAAATTCTCTCCTTACCCCAGACTCCTTCCCGCCAGGGGGCGCCCCCGGAGTTAGTGGAGAGGTTAGGGGCCCTGACAGAAGTTGAATCTAGGATTGAATAGGAACATAGGAGGGCTTCAAGACCACTGGTGTCGACTTCAGGAGGGCCAGACCTGACAGGAGAGGTTTCTCTGACACCAAAGACCTGAGGGTGGGAGTCTCCTCTTCTCCTGGCAGGTGCTGGCCTTCACAGGTGCAAACTCGCCTCCCATTCCCACCCCAGAAGGCCGAGTGGTGAGCAGGGAAGGGCTGCACGGGAACCTCGCCGGGACGTCCAAGGGTCATCCACCTCCTCTCTCCTGCCCTCACGACCTGCCCAAAGGCCACGGTTGAAAACAGTGGGACGACTCCCCTCAAAGACCCTAGATGGTCAAGGAGAAATGGAGAGCAATAGAGAAATCTCCAGATTTCTCCTTCGCCCCGCATCTGCGAAATCCTCCTGCTGAAAGCCGCCAGACTGCCGAGCCCTGGGGCTTTGCGCAGATTCTCCGGAGGTTCTCGATTGTGGTGCCTGGGGAAAGGGGGCAGAGGGGCCCTGTGAGATCTTCAGGGAGAGGAAGACGCCCCCACCCCCCCCCAGGGCTGAAAACAAAACCCTAGCTTATTTTGGCCCTGAGGGTTAAGGCTCCAGACGTCCACAAGAGCCATACCACCTGGCTGGAAAGTGGCAAAACGGGCTGGAACCAGGACTTCTGAGTTTATATTCCAGAGCTTTGCCCACGCCCCTGAGTGCTTCAAGATGGGGAAATGGTGCAGACACATGCACACAAACCTTCCTTACAGCCCTCTCTATCTCAATGGAAGCCAGAAGTAACATTTGTCACAAAGGAACTACATATTATTTGAGGGATTTGTTAATTTGTAAGCTCGTGTAGGTAGGAAGCGCATCTAGATGATTTAAGGCTGAATTTTCCAAAGTAGCAGGGAGCCTGGGACAGAGCCCACACTCAATAAATTTATTTGTTGAATGAATCACAAATTGCAGTAACTCCGGGCAAAATAATCCGGAATAAGCCCGACCAGGAAAGAGGGTCGCTCCCTGCCCTAGGGAAAGCCGGAAGGACCATGAAGGAAATTAGAAAACTGGGGGAGGGGAGAAAATAGGCGTTCCTATTTCATCATCCCCAACCTGGTGAGAGCTATAGAGCCGGTGTTAGCCTTCTGTATGAGCCCTCTGTCCTAAGTTCTCAAAGAACTGGTGCAAGAGGGAAAGAAGGGCGTTTCTCTTCGGACGGACGGGTGGTGAGCAAAGACCGATGGCAATCTCGCGAGTCCCCCCGGCCCTGCCTGGGCCTGCACCCACAGAGCTCCTAGATCCCGGTCTGAGCCGCAGGCCGCAAAGCAGAGCGTGGTCGAGATTGAGGCGGATACCGGCGGCCGCCCCAGGGAAAACTCGTGAGGCCCGAGATCCGCCTTGCTCAGAGCCTGCCCCACCGCCCCACCTTGGCTGAAAGACAAGGGAAGATGCGCGGGCCCTACATTGTGAACTCGGGTTCCCAAGCATCCCCTAAAGAAACTGCTGGCAAAACTGCGGTCTGCCCTGTTTGAGATGAGTCGGGGGAGTGGGGAGGCCGGCTGAAAGAGAACCCTCTGGTCAGAAAGAGGCGTTGGGGCCAGGTGAGGGACTCTCACTTGGACCAGCACGGAGATAAGGATATCCGCCTTTTCCCCACAAGACGGCTTATTCTTGGCAGCGAAGCGCATCTGAAAGGTGCGGAGCTGTGTGTGTGTGTGTGTGTGTGTGTGTGTGTGTGTTTGTGTGTGTGTGTGTGTGTGTGTGTGTGTGTGTGTAGGGGCAGAAGAGGCAGGTGCCTCAAGATGCTGCGATGGCCCAGGCCAAGTCCAGACGAGATCTGGTGCTAGCGCGCGCAGCACAATCTCGGCTGCGGCGGGGAGGAGGGGGGAGCAGGGACCCTTACCCTAGACTCCCTCCCACGAGCTCCTGCTCCCGCTCAGTGCCCGAACCCAACGCCTGCCAGCTACCTACACGGTAGCTTTCCCCACAGTAAGCTTGGGGTGGGGGCGGGGAGCTGTCAGCCACGTGCCTGCTTCGGAGCTGAAAGCTGCGAGGATACGAATGCCGAGGAGGCATGGCTCAAGGACTGCGGAAGATTCACCCAGCTAGTGCTTTCATGTGTCCTGTCTTACTTGGATCTTAAAAAAACTTGGTGAAGAATGACCTCCATTTCTAAACGGCATTGAAACCAGGAGAGACTACAACGTTCTACACCTAGTGTTTCTTACATTTAGTAATAATATAAAATAATGGAGAGGGAGGAGAGAAGACTCGAGATTCGGAGACCCATCCCACCTTGGCATAAAGACCCTAGTTGAGGCGCAGGCCCAGGGCTGGGGGCTGGCCTGCACACAAGACCTATATTCAGTTTTGTCTGCTCCCTACAGTGTTGTCCTCTGCCCTTCCACTTGGACCCAGAGTCATCCTCTCCCCTCCTCGCCTAAGTAGGCATCACTTTGGCCAAGGCACCCTCGATGGGAGTCTGAGTCCTTCTTGAGAGCGCCCCCCAGAGAAGTCTCTTGGAGGGGAGCGCAATGAGCTGACCTGGCGCCCGTCTTTCGAAGCATAACTGAGGAGTGCTGTCTCGACCCTCGAATTCCTGCTTGCCTGCCCCAAAGTGGCCAAGGGGGCTGGGAAACATGGCCTTCTGCTGTAGGCAGGAGATGGGGTGCCCTGAGCTTTCTCTCCCCTCTTAAGGAATATAGGTGGCACGGAAACAATGTTAGCATGTAAATTGGCTTTGTATTGAGGGAGAGCAGTTCTCAAGGGAAAGATTGAAATCTTGAAATGAGCCAATAAAAAAGTTTCCTTATTATAATCACTATTAATGGAAAAGGCATCTAACCTGCTGAATTAAATCGTTCAAAAGCGCCTTTTCATGATCAGGAGCTCCTCTACAAGGAAGGGAAAGAAAATATGAAAACAGAAACCCAAATCGAGAAGCCTCCTTAACCGGCCCCCGCAGTGTCTTGGCGGCCCCTGCCCGACCAGGGAGCGCTCCGCCCTCCCAACCCCTAGCGCGGAAAAGGAGGCTGAAACAGCCAAAGAGAAAAGAAAACAGTAAAAACAAAACGTTTAAAATCCAAGAGGAAAAGTCGGAGCGGGTCTCAGGATCTGCACGGCGGAGGGCTCGGCTCCGTGCTCCACTCCGCTGGAGGCCAGGGCCTGGCCGGAGCCGCGCGGCGGATGCCTCCGGCCGGCCCGCCGGCTCGGAAAGCGCAGCCTACAGCTCCTCCTCTCCAGGCGCCCAAGGACCCTCAAGGCGCGGGGCTCACACTTGAAGCCTGGGAACGCGCAGAGAGGAAACCCACTTCCTCCTAAGCAGTTTCTTGCTAGCCGGCTGAGAGGCGCCCAATTGAAACAGAATGATCCTCATCTACTAATATCCAGCGTGGCCACAAAGCGACTGGCCATTTACGCCGCCACTTTAAACAAAGATATTTGGTTATTCCCGGGAAGCAAGTGCACTTTTGCATGGCTGAGCTCCGGGTGGAGGCAAACCTCAGCCCTGCCTCCCGCCCGCGGTGCTGCTCACGCCGGGGGATTCGCCCCCTCCCCCGCCCCAGCCGGCTCGTCCAGCCGGGGTTCAGGCTCCGTCCCAGCCTGCAACAGGCGAGCTGACTCTCACGCTGCTCCCTGCCCGAGGCCTCCCTGAAGCATCTGAGGGGAGAAAACTATGTGACCCCGGGCTGGGGTGCGGGGCTGTGATGTCCTCGGAAAGTCAGCTCCCGTCCCAGACCTGCCCGTGTCTGGGCGATGGGCGAGGGTCGGGGACACCAGGTTTGTTCGAGGTGGAGCAACTTCAGCGATGTCCCTTCGCATGAATTCTCGCAGCTTCTCAGCTCGGGCGGCCAGTGGTGGGTCCTTGCCTTAGCTTGGGGTGGGGGTGGGGAAGCATAGCCGCGTGGGGGTTGGGGGGGCGGGGTGGGCATGAGGCCGAAGGCCCTGGGCCTCTGAGAAGACCCTGAGCTGGGGAGAAGGGGGGGCGCGGGGATCTGGGACAGCCTCTCGGCGGCAGCCGATCCCCCCCTTGCTCAGCGCCCCCTCCGCCCGCTGGGATTCTCTCTCGGGTAGGGGGGAAAGGGGGCGGGGAGCAGAGGTGTCCTTCTGACGGCGGCAGAAGAGGCAGACAGACTGACAGACAAGCAGACCAACAGTGCGGCCCCAGGGTGCGGCCCCTGACTCCCGAGCTTCTTTGGTGGCGACTGGGGCTCGGCGCCGCGAAGCCAGATGTGGTCCGGCGGCAGTGGGAAGGCGCGGGGCTGGGAGGCCGCGGCGGGAGGGAGGAGCGGCCCCGGCAGGCTCAGGTGAAACCCCCACCCCGTCCTCGGCCCACTCCCTGTCCCCGCCCCGGGAGCCCCGACCGAACGGGAAAGTGGTTCACTTTGTAACTCCGCAAGTTGGTTGCAAAGCAGCATTCACCTTCCTTCCTCCCAGCGGCCCTCCTCCTCCTCGGCTACTCCCCATCCCACCTCTCGCCCTCCCCTCCCTCGGTTCCCTCCTCCTTTTCCTCCCCCCCTGCGCACCCCCCCCCTCCCGCGCGCCAGCGTACCCCACAAAAATGAGGGTAGGGGGTCCGGGGGAGAAATGCTTTGGGTCGCGTCTCTGCCTCTCTCTCTGTCTCTCTCTCTCCCTCTTTGAGACCTAAAAATCCTGACAAGTGAAACTTAAAGGTGTTTACCTTGTCATCAGCATGTAAGCTAATTATCTCGGGCAAGATGTAGGCTTCTATTGTCTTGTTGCTTTAGCGCTTACGCCCCGCCTCTGGTGGCTGCCTAAAACCTGGCGCCGGGCTAAAACAAACGCGAGGCAGCCCCCGAGCCTCCACTCAAGCCAATTAAGGCGGACTCGGTCCACTCGGTTACGTGTACATCCAACAAGATCGGCGTTAAGGTAACACCAGAATATTTGGCAAAGGGAGAAAAAAAAAAAAAGCAGCGAGGCTTCGCCTTCCCCCTCTCCCTTTTTTTTTCCTCCTCTTCCTTCCTCCTCCAGCCGCCGCCGAATCATGTCGATGAGTCCAAAGCACACGACTCCGTTCTCAGTGTCTGACATCTTGAGTCCCCTGGAGGAAAGCTACAAGAAAGTGGGCATGGAGGGCGGCGGCCTCGGGGCTCCGCTGGCGGCTTACAGGCAGGGCCAGGCGGCACCGCCGGCCGCGGCCATGCAGCAGCACGCCGTGGGGCACCACGGCGCAGTCACCGCCGCCTACCACATGACGGCGGCGGGGGTGCCCCAGCTCTCGCACTCCGCCGTGGGGGGCTACTGCAACGGCAACCTGGGCAACATGAGCGAGCTGCCGCCGTACCAGGACACCATGCGGAACAGCGCCTCGGGCCCCGGATGGTACGGCGCCAACCCAGACCCGCGCTTCCCCGCCAGTAAGTGAGGCCGCCCCACCGCGGGGCCGCGGGTTGAGCGCAGGAGGTGCGGGGAAGACCTGCCGGGAAGGCGCGGAGCCTGCCGGCTGCGCGCTGGGCATCAGGGGTGGGCGGCCGGGCAGTGGCGCCAAGGAGTCGGGTGTAGGAGCTGGGGAGTCTGCCCTGGTTGAGCTGAGGGGTCCAAGAAGAGGGACTCGGTAGCCCTGGGGTCCTGAGGGCAGGAGCTGGTATTTGGCGTTTGCCAGATGCGGCCAGTTGGCCGCTCTGCTCCGGCGCGGGAGAGCGCGGAGGCAGCGTCCCCCCAGCTAAGAGAACCGGGTGAGCAGAGCTTGGAGAGGCGCGGCCTGGCCGGGAGGGAGGGTGCCCTGCTGGGACGCGCTCAGGCCCGGGGCCTGGCCCACTCTCCAGGCTAGGCAGGTGGGAGGGCGCGCGGCTCCAGACGGGATTCTAAATGGGCAGAGCCAGTGCCCTCACCGGGCTGACAGGAGACAGTGGCCAAGGCACAAAGAGTCTGGGGTCTCAAGCTTTCGAAAGTGAACACCTCCCTCTCCCAAGCTCCCAAAGCTGGGGGTCTACCGTTAGACCCCGGCTCCGGACCTGAGCCCAGTTTGCTGCCGGCTAACCCCACGAATCCGGAAAGGAACAGGGAAGGCTTTCTCCACTCTGCTTTTTTGGGTAAAGCACCGAGACTGAGGGAGGTAGCCGGGGTTGAGGCGGGGAGCTCTCCAGTAAACCCCCTCGACGGCGCGGCCTCGAGGCAGGCTCCGGCGATCGCCGCGGCTGGGCCTCTCAGGGTGGAGGCGACCTAGGTGAGAAGGGCACCGTCGGGGCGGGCCGGGCTGGCCAAGGGCGCAGGCGGCAGAGAGGGTCTGGCCCGGCCCGGCCCCTGCCGACGCTATGCGTTTGTCGCTTACAGTCTCCCGCTTCATGGGCCCGGCGAGCGGCATGAACATGAGCGGCATGGGCGGCCTGGGCTCTCTGGGGGACGTGAGCAAGAACATGGCCCCGCTGCCAAGCGCACCGCGCCGGAAGCGCCGGGTGCTCTTCTCCCAGGCGCAGGTGTATGAGCTGGAGCGACGCTTCAAGCAACAGAAGTACCTGTCCGCGCCGGAGCGCGAGCACCTGGCCAGCATGATCCACCTGACGCCCACGCAGGTTAAGATCTGGTTCCAGAACCACCGCTACAAGATGAAGCGCCAAGCCAAGGACAAGGCGGCCCAGCAGCAACTGCAGCAGGACGGCGGCGGCGGCGGCGGGGGCGCGGGGTGCCAGCAGCAGCAGCAGCAAGCGCAGCAGCAGTCCCCGCGCCGCGTGGCCGTGCCGGTCCTGGTGAAAGACGGCAAACCCTGCCAGGCGGGCGCCCCCGCGCCGGGCGCCGCCAGCCTGCAAGGCCACGCGCAGCAGCAGGCGCAGCAGCAGGCGCAGGCCGCTCAGGCCGCCGCGGCAGCTATCTCAGTGGGCAGCGGTGGCCCCGGCCTGGGTGCCCACCCGGGCCACCAGCCTGGCAGCGCGGGCCAGTCTCCGGACCTGGCGCACCACGCCGCCAGCCCCGCGGCGCTGCAGGGCCAGGTCTCCAGTCTGCCCCACCTGAACTCCTCGGGCTCGGACTACGGCACCATGTCCTGCTCCACCTTGCTATACGGTCGGACCTGGTGAGAGGACGCCGGGCCGGGCCTAGCCCAGCGCTCTGCCTCATCGCTTCCCCTTCCTGCCCGGTCACACACCACCAACCACCCGCTACACCCTGCGCTTCGACTTTTCTTAAGAACCTGTCCCGTTGAGACCAAGGGAAAAAACACAAAGACCAAACTGCTGGACGTCTTTCTTTTCTTTCCTTTTTTTTCTAAAATGTGCAGGATTTTTTTTAAAAGAAAATAAAACAACCAAGCGAATCCAATTCTTCTAAGGAGTCTTTAAACAGAGGACATAACAAGAACCGCTTTGGGGGTGTCTTTGGGGTGATTCAAATGGGTTTCCCACGCTCGGGCGGGATGTAGTTTGGAGACGGCTCTACACTGACATGGCTCTGGACACTTAAGATTGAAATCTTCACTCTGGGTACACCGTGCCAGGAAAGTGGACTCGCTTGTAAATACCGGGATTTCTTTGAAGGGGCGACCGGGGGCTGGGGAAAGGAAAAGACGGAACCCACTTGCCACTGACACAAAGGAAATGCCCCCTCCTGCCCCCTCTGGCCACCCAGGCTCAGCTGAGACCCGCCCTGGTTAAAATCGTTTTATGTTTGATGTGAACTTGTAGTTGTAAAACGCTGTCAAAAGTTGGACTAAACACTTAGTTTTTAGCAATCTGTACATTTTGTTGTAAAAAGCAAAAACAAAAAAACCAGTCCCCATCCCCATCCCCAGCCCATTATATTTTTTATGGGCCAAGACAAATCTGTGTATATTATTTGGCAGTTTGGTATTTGCAGCGTCAGTCTTTTTCTGTTGTAACTTATGTAGATATCTGGCTTAAATATAGTTCCTAAGAGGCTTCTAATAAATTATACAAATTAAAAGGATTCTTTTTCTGATTAAAAACCCCATCTTTTGTTTGGTTTTGATTTGGCTTTAAATGGCATTTTTTGGTAGTAGGGGGAGTGGCTCAGCATTGGCCGGACAGGATTCGAATTGTGTGGGAGCTCAAAGGATCCTGAACCAGTGAAGGAGGCTGAGACCAGAGTCTTTGCCCCACGGAAAGAGAGAGTTTTGTTCTGCTTCTGAATTAAGTCGAACCAAACCTTGAACAGTCTTGGGATTCGGCAATAGAGAGTAGAAAAGCTAAACTACTTCCACCAGGAGGAAAAAGAAAGAGAAAGACACCAAAGGACTAGTTTTCAAAGCCAGACTTCTGTGTCTTAAAACCACAGAAGTATCTACTGTGGTCTTATACAGCTGAGCCAACGTTTTAAAACAGTCGACCTTGGACATTCCATTTTTAAAGAATCCTGAATAAACAATTATTTTTATAGGTGGATTGTCCCTGTAGGTTTCAACATTATTTCTAATCCTTGGCAGAGCCTCCTTGGGACTAGGATGTGGTGGGAGATTGTTTTCGAGAAAGTGGGGAAGTCGTGGGTTTCGTCTCTGCTCTAAAACAGTTATTCCCCCACACAGGCTGTGCAGCAGCTTCTCGTAGCTTTCGTGGCCCAGGAAGGTGTCTGACTGGGCTGCTGGCCTTGGGAACACCCCTGGCAGGGCTTTCTGCTCTTTGTTCCAAGATTTTCATCTCTGGGCTCCTGGCCTCCTAAATCTTTGTAGCAAGGAGTCTTTCTCCTGTCCCCAACTCTCCACTTCTCCCCCATCGCATGCCCCCTCAACATCCACCCCTGGGAGGGAAAAAAAATCTTTGACCTCTCTTCCTACCTCTAATTTCCCAGTCTCTTTGGTACCCTGATATAGCTGTTGGGGAACTCTTAGTTGCTCTGGGGAGGGGAGGAAGAAAGAGAGGTGTAGACAGAAGTCGTAGTCTCTAGGTAATCTGTTGCTCCTTCTGTGTCATCTCTGATGTACCTACAGGAAAAGTGACTGCACCGTGGACAGAGCCCCTCCCAGCACTTTTCTCTAGGTCTGAAAGTATTTGAATGGGGGGAGCGGAATGTGTGATCCTATTTGGCACATACTCATTTATCGCCTAGAATTTCAACTTTCTTTTTTCCTGTCTCGCCTGCCTCTACATTTTCTTCCTCTTTTTTTCAGCTCATTCTGACTCCATCTCTGTCTTCCTGGATCGCCACCCTCAAGCCCCAGGAACTTGTAAGGAAAATGGGGGTGGGCGCTTGCTAGCACCAGCAGTCTTCTCTGTTGACTTTCTGGGGACTCTTTTCTCGTGGTTCCCTAACTGTGGACGAGGACGGCTTTCTCTCTCGTGTCTGACTGCTGAGATACTGTTTTCAGTATCTAGAAGAGACTCAGAGATTTCTAGAGGGTGACTGGTTGGATCTAGAGGGTGTGATGGTTGGGAGAATTCTCAGGAGGCCCCACATTTTGGAAAATAAAGGAAAATCTGGACAGGTTGAACACTGGTGTTGGAATGGGCAGCAGTAGCCCCCGGGGCAGTTTGTGAAGGTGGTTAAATCACCCAGGTCAGGCCCCGCCGGGCAGGGGAGATGTTACAGCTAAGCTCTGAATTCTGTGGGGTGGGAGCTTACCCTCGACCTGCCCCCACGCCCAACACACGAGCGTGGAAGGGGCGGGGCGGGCGCTCAGGGGGGCTGCCCACCCCACCCCAACTGGCTGCGGAGCGGGCCACTGAGATTCACAATTCTAGTGAGCTATGGCACTCAGTCTGATCACCCTTGCCCTGTATGGAGTTACTACCGAATATGTTCTTTCCCCTCCCCGCACCCTCCCCGCCCCCCACCCCAGCCCGGCCGTCTAGAG